TTGACTCAAGTTAAATTTCTTAAATACTTGAATGTCCATAATACATTCTATTTCTATTATCAATATTAATCAAAAATCAAGTAGTAAACAATAAAAAATCATTTTATTTATATATCCTCCCTTCCACTAAAATAAAATCTCATATTTTAAGTACTATCAAAGAGTCTAAGTACCTCTTTGGGACAATAGAGTTAACTGAATAAAATTTCCAGGTCATCCCATATCCCAAAAAATTAAAAACCCCTTTCTAATGGAGAGGAAGTATATGGCTTGGAAGGTCCAAAAAGCAAGAATAGGAAAAGTAGACAGTCAAGCAGATCACAATCAGTAGTGATTCTCCAAAAGGTTAAGCAGACGCTCACCTTACATGCGAAGAATCCTTTCAATAGTTTTGTTCATACTGAAACAAACTGGAAACCTATGACTACCTTCAAAATGTTCTTTCCCTACAAAGCATTAACTATTTAGTCTAAGTGGGTCACTAAATACTAGGTTTATAAATGTATCTATACACAATATGTCATAGATGAAAAACAGTCTACCCCTCTAGCAAAATCCACTAGGTATAAACAAAAGGCAGGACCCTCCCTGGTGGCAGAAAGGGGTTAAAGCACACACCATGAAGTTATGGTGTGTGCCACTGCAGCATGAATTCCAAGCCAGGTCAGGTACGTGACCCACATGGCGCAGCAGACCTCTCCTGTCTCACCTGCTGCTCCCCTCGGCAGTGTGCTTCAGTTGATCAGCCTGTTCTGCTCCCCATTCTGTCTCTGGTGAATTTTCTCACCCACTCCCCCACACCCCTGATCTTGAATGCATAAATAAATCTTTAATAAATAAAATTAATAAACCAAAGGCAGAAATTTGCTTATTGTCTTCTCCATAATGCCTTCATTGTGAATATGCTGTATATCCAACGATCAAAAATTATAACTATTAGAAATGATACTATTAACTGTGATTCCCCATTATTATATACTTTTAGGTATACTGATTTGAATTTAAGTGATTTGAGCATATCAGTGGACATTCCTCTGTGAGTGGCACTCCACCACAAAGGGGAAAAATTCTAATTGATTCAACAGCCTTCACAGAGCTCCAAAAAGAGGGAGAGATATCAAGACAAAAGTAGAGAGCAGGAAAAGAATAATGAAGTCCTGATCATATTACAAGGATGAATGGTGAACCTTCACATTAAGTGAAATAAGCCATACACAGAATGTCAAATAGTGTATGACTCTTAGTTACATGAAATATCTAGAATCGGCAAATCCCTCAAGACAGAAAATAGACCAGAGGTTACCAAGGGCTAGGTGGAAGCAGCAGTGGGGAGTCATTGCTTAACAGTCAGAGATTCTGGGGTGAGGAAAATGTTTTAGAAATAATGGTGATGATTGCACAACATTAAGGAGTGAAGTACTTAATGCCACTGAATTGTCCTCTTAAAAAAGGTTAAAATGACCTCAACTCAAAATTCAAAACTACAAAGTTCTTGGAAGAAAACAGGGGGGAACAGCTTCATGGCACTAGACATGGAGGCGATTTCTCCTAGAAGACATCAAGAGCACAGGCAAAAAAAAGCCAACAGACAAATGGGACAGTGGGACTACCTCAAACTTAAAAACATATGCATAGAAAACCACCAAAAACAGTGAAAAGGAAACATGTGGAATGGTAGAAACTATCTGCAAATCACACAACCGATTATATATTCAGGATCTATAATATAAACCCAGGCAACAACAAAAAGCAACCTGATTTAAAAATGGACAAAGAGGCCCTCCCTGGTGGTGCAGCGGGTTAAAGCACAGCACTGAGAAGCTAAAGCCACTTCCACATGAGTTCGATTCCCGCCTGCCCCGGAGGTGATCACATGGTGTGGCAGACCTCTCCTGACCGGCCCGCTGCTTCCCTCAGCAGTGTACTTCGTCGATCTGTCTGTTCTGTTCCCCACTCTGTCTCTGGTGAAGCCTCTCACCGCCCCTGAGCCTCTGGCCTGCACCCCAGTTCTGTATGAATAAATAATCTTTAAAAAAAAAAAAATGGACAAAGAACTTGAAGAAACCTTTCTGCAAAGGTGATAGAATAGACCTTTCTGCAAAGGTGATATACAAATGGCCAACAAACATGAAAAGAGAGTACTTGGAACAATCATTAATCAGAAAAATGCAAATTAAAACCACAATATCATCTCAAACCAATTAAGACAAGTGTATTTTAAACAAACCAGAAAATAACATGTTGTCTAGGATATGGAGATACTGGAACCCTTGTACACTGTTGGTGAGATGGTAAGGTGATGCAATCACTGTGGAAAACAGCATGAAGGTTTCTCAAAAAATTAAAAACAGAACTTTTGGGCCCTCCCTGTTGGAGCAAGGGGTTACAGCACAGCACTATGAACTTGGCAGCAGTTGCTTCATCACAAGTTCGATCCCCACCAGGAAGGTGACTCACATGGCGCAGCAGACTTCTCTTGTCTCGACCGCTGTTCCCCGCCCGCTGTTTCCCTCAGCAGTATATTTCAGTAGATCTGTCTGTTCAGCTCCCCACTCTATCTGGTGAAGTCTCTCACCCTCCACACCTCTGGCCTGTACTCAAGTTCTTACATACATAAATAAGTCTTAAAAAAAAAAAAGTGAAATGAAATCCCAAATATTGTACAACTCCATTTAGACGCAACATTTAAAATAGTGAAATTCACAGAAACAAAAAGAAAAGAATGGTGGTTGCCAGAAGGTGGTGAGAAGAAAATAAGAGTAATTATTTATAAAGTTCAGTAACTGTTTCCCAATTACGTGAACGTACTTAGCAGCCACAGAATTGTGCACTCAAAAATACTAAGATGGTAAACTGTATGGGTTTTACACATAAAAAAAGTTTACTTGGCAAGTTTTTGTTAAATTATTTTCCCACATTTTTTTAAAAGTACCAAAAAATCACTGATTGTAGAATATGAGAATTTTATCTCCATATATTTGTTGGAAAAAAAAAAAACGCAGCTTAACCAAGTCATATATCTGGCACTGGTTTTGGTTTAGAGAGAAAAGCAGTCTGTTGTGCATGCCCAAAGCCCTGAGCAGAGGAGCCTCAGTTCCTACGCCTGCAACTCCACCCTGACCTCCAGGTGACAGCTCTTTCCTTCCCAAGGCATCCCACTATGACTCCCAAACCTCCAGCTTCGTTATCAGGTACAGTTCTGCAAGAAGATGAAGTTGAAGAAGCTGCGGTGGCAATTACAGAAACTGGCAAAAAAAAAAAAAATCAGGATTCATGCTACATTCAACAGCGGGGCTCAAAACTTAATATATATAAAAAAAAAAATAGCAAATATACAGCCAACGTTAGATCTTGCTTGTCCTCTCCACCTCTTCCAGTCAAGCATATGTTAAAAGGGACCTCTCTGCTCCTGTGCTGGGGTACACACGGGCCTACCTCACTTATGCGAGGGCTATTAAATACAGAGCACCTTTTAAGATATGGTAGTTAACCATGCCTATCTCTTATTAAGTCTTGAAAACACATCAAAAACTGTGACTAAGTAAAGCCCATTTTAGTAAAATAAACATTTTTATAGCACATAAAAGCGTTATGATAAAGATCAAATATTAACAATCACTTCTCATGGGTGGTGGGACTAAGGGTGAATTTCTCCCCTTTTGGCTTACCTGTGTTTTTTATAATCTGTAACTGCTGTGAAAACAAGTATGTACGGAAAAAATAAAATTTCACCTCTGCCTATGTCTATGATACCACAGGCTCTTTCCTACGTTACTATACTGAAGCTAAGTGAGCACCAAGTGAGATGACACTATCTCCAGCATTTTGCAGATGAGAACAAACTGAAGTTCATAAAAACAGCTCAGTGACTTGACCATGGGTTGTAGTTAGAAACTGACAAAGCAAGGATTACAATCCAGTACTTCTATTTCAAGTCCAAGGTCCTTTCCATTCTATCAGATCTTAAAGGGCTAGTTACATACTGTTTAAGGTATAATTACAAAAAAAAAAAAAACAACTGTGATGAAACTGTTTTAAGACCACTTCTACTTAACCCTGCACATAGTGAGTCACTTAACTCTGAAAAATTAACAGTTTTCTCATCTGAAAAGTGAACAGTTTGGAAACAGCATTCTATCTTTAACAGTCCACTTTCCTAAAGAATTTTAAGTCTAGATACTATATTAGAAGAAGAAAAACCTATGGTTGAAGAGAAATTGAGGCCTATGCTTTGGGTCAAAAGTAATTTTTAATGGAAACAGGTGGTGATAGTCAAGAGGAAGAACTTCTTAAGGAACCATAAACTTCCTGGTTAAAGTAACTGTTTAAAGTTCCAGCTCTGCTTTAAAACAGCAATGCTTCAATCTTGGCTAAGGTAGGATCAGAAACCACATTCTCTAAATAAAATGTAAAAATGGTATGAGGGGAGGGTGCGGAGCAATAGTTTACCCATGGATTACTAACGTGAAAACAAAAAGCACTCTTAAGTAGAGATGCCTTCTTTCTTCCTGGCCAAGAATTTAAGGAGAAACTGAAACTTGCATTGCACTCTCGGAGTTGCACGCTTTTGAAAAGCGCGATCCAGCAGCACTTGGAGAAAAGGTGAAAGAATGCAAACACAACGGAAGCCTGTCTGATCTACAGCGAACCAAAGACCTTTAAAAGGTGAAGTTCCTGTCCAGGGTTCACGGGACACCCGTAACCCCTTACACCGCGGACGTTCTAAGGCATGCCACTCTAAGTCTTTTTATTCGAAGGTAATAAAAAGTGTAGCGTGACATAGCTGGCGAGAGAGATTCCCTGTTGCTCAATGAAACAGGTTCCGACCTAAATCTCATCACTTCCCCTCAAGTGCAGGGATGGGCCTGTACCAGCGGGAAGCCCCCTTACAGCCTGGGCAACAGTCAGAGAATTCAAACAACACCCTGCCCCAGGACCACAACCAAGAGACCGCCGGCGTTAAGTCCAATGCCAGGTCCTAGCAGGCAGAAAGCTCCTCGATGAGCTCGCGGGTGCGAGATTTCGGCTCCACGGCTAGGCCGCGACTGGGTGAGCACCTGACGTTGGGGGGAGGGCAAGTCAAGGCCCTAGCGATCTGGGGCGACCAGCCAGGGTCTCACCAAGCTCAGGACGAGAGGTGCTGCCTCCAAAGGCGGGGGTCCTGGGGACCCGCCGGAGGTGGGCACCAAGAACACGTGGGGCGACAGGAGCAGGGAAGGGGTGTCCCGGGCAGGCAGCTTGGATCTGGCACAGCGACTGGGAAGACTGGGACGGAGCTCCCCCGGTACGGGGAACAAAACGCTCTGGGTCCCCAGGGTGAAGGCAAAGGGCGCAGAGAAGGGGGGCCAGGCCACGAGGAGGGCGGGTCTCGCTGGGCGCCGGGGCACGCGCGGGGCCAGCGCGGCCAGCCCCGGGGAGCGGAGAGCCCCGACACGCAGGAGATCGCCGAGCTGCCCCCCGGGGCGCTAGGAACCAGCAGCGGCCGCGCCCCGAGGGGCCGGTGACCCGCAGTCGCCCGGACCGGACCGGACCCGCCCCGCCCCGCGGCGCCTCCCTCCACCCTTCTCTCCCTCCCTCCTTCCCACCCGCGGCCCGTTATCGCACGGCCGCCGCACTCACCAGCGGCTGCACCTGAGCCCGCCGCTACTCAGCTGCTGCCTGCGCCTCCGCAGCCGCCGCCGCCTAGCTGCTGAGGCCGAGTCCCGGGGGAGCCTCCGCGTCCCGCCGCCGCTGCCGCTGCCGCCAGAGCAGAACACCCCAAAATGGCGGCACTTCCGGCACCTACCACCGGCGGGGAGGGCCGAGGGGGAGGGGGAGAGCGGCGAGGGGAACGTACCACCGCGGTGCCGCCCGCAGCGCCGAGCCGAACGGATCGCGGCGCAGGGGCGGGCCGAGCGCCCGGCGCTACAGCGCCCCCTCGGGCTGGGGAGTGGAGGCGCAGCAGCGCGGACACCACCGGGGCGGCTGGCGGAACCGTCCGCGTCCGGACCGGCCGACCGGTTCTCTTTGTCTCCGGCTGCAGGAGGCGAGAGTGGGAGGACCTCGGCCTGGGAATCGGAAGTTCTGGACACTGCGCGGCGCGCCCGCCTGCCCTCAGAATGGCTTGGGGAGGGTGGTGGAGGAGTCCTGCTTGGTGTTGAATGTACGCAGAATGAAACATTTGATGAATGAGTGAATGAAACGGCGCTCGGTCAGTGCTGGGCACATGACACACCCTCCTTTCTAGCCCAGGCGACCGGATCCAGGTCTTCCGGCTTTGCTGAACTCTGGAATGTGAGTGTGTTGTGAGCGCTCCGAATTGGAGGCTTTCCTTCAAGTCGGGCGATCCACTAGATGTAAGCATAACCTTGCAAAAATCCCTGCCGCGCCAGGAAGCTCATAAGGGTTCATTCAGAGTCTGATTGCCAAGCCCTACCCTACTGTGCAAACAACCCACCTTCGGTCTCTAAAGACCTCAGGAACCCCGGTTTGTAGGTGGAAGGCTAACGGAACAAGTTTGTCTATCCGTTTAAAATACCACGGTCGTTTTTCAATAACTTCTACACCTTGTAAGGACAATGAGACGCAGATAAAGAAACTTAGTTCTGGCCCCAGCAACTTGCAAATGATTTCTCTGTAAGCTCATCTGACTTCCCAGAGCAAATAGTTCTTATGCCCACTAATACTGACTAAAAATCACCTTACTACAAAAGAAAAAAAAATCAAGTGGTTCCCCAAACAGAAACCTCATTCCTATATGTTGGAAGCACCTGTTTCCTCTAAGGGGGTTTAAAAAAAAAAATAACTAACTAACCACAGTTTTTCTGATATCATTATCATATGCCTGAACCATTAACCTCTTTAAAATTGTGTGATATCCAAAAATGGGGGGGGGGGGGAGAGAGAGAAATGCACGGGACTATGGTGGTGGCACAGGGGTGATTTGGTGATGGGAAACCCGCGGGGATTACAATCGAGATGGAAAAAAAAAATGTGCAAAATGATGTAAAAATAAACTTTGTAATAAAAAAAATTGTGTGATATCTTGTTTCCTAGTTGTACTGCATTTTTATTATCCAAAGCAATTATCACCAACTTACATAATACATCTTGTATTTCATATTTTACTTATTCGAAGTCTCCATAAGAAGGTAAGTTCTGGAGGTAGGGACTTTGTGTATTAAATCCTCAGGGGCTAGAAAAAATGTCTAACCCATTGTGGGTGTTCAGTAATGTTGGGGTTTTTTATTTGACTTATATATATTGTGAAATGTTTACTACAATGAATTTAGTTAACACCCATCTCTCTCTCTTTTTTTTTAATTTAAGATTTATTTATTAATGCTTACAGAACTGGGGTACAGGCTAGAGGTGTGGTGGATTAGAGGGGTCACCAGAGACAAAGTGGGGAACAGAACAGGCAAATCCACTGAAAAACACTGCTGAAGGGAAGCAGTGGACAGGTCAGGAGCTGTCTGCCACGCCATGTGGGTATCTGCCACGCAATGTGGGTCACCTCCAGGGCTGGGGATTGAACTTGTGCTGCAGTGGCTGCAATGGCTTCTCACAGCTTCATAGTGTGGTGCTTTAACCTGTTGTGCCACCAGGGAAAGCCTCAACACCCATCTTTTAAGATACCAAAAAAGAAAAAGGAAATAAAGCTTATTTTATTTTGTGATTAGAACACTTATGAGCTATTTTCTTTCCGCACAATTAGCTGACAGTCATTACACTGTACATCACATCCCTACTACTTAAAACAGAAGTTTATTCTCTTGGATCACCTTCATCCAATTCCTCCTATTCCCCACCCATCAATAAATGTTGCTGAGTTAGTACAGAAGCATACCTAGATCCTAGGTATTGCTTAGCTTCAGAAGCTTGCTGGAACCTGCCCCATGAGCTAAATGAGAATAGGATATGCCCCTCTACTCTCTTGTACCTCCATGCTTTTCACAGTATCTGGCACAATAGATAGGTTTTGAAGGACAAACAAACTTGTTTCTATTTTATCTGTGCCTGGACTTAGGGTTCCCACTGGTGAGAGGCACTACCACTCCTTACAGGGTAGTAGGCTCACTCTTGGACACAGTCCACTGGCCACTATTAAAATTACTTTCTATTAAAGGTCTTATGCACTGGGCCCTCCCTGGTAGCACAACCAGTTAAAGCACAGCACTAAGATGCTACCCGTAGACACTGCAGCATGAGTTCGATCCCCACCAGGGAGGTGACCCACATGGTGCAGCAGACCTCCTGACCTGCCTCCTGCTCCCCTCAGCAGTGTAGTTCAGTAGCTCTGCCTGTTCTGTTTCCCCACTCTGTCTCTGGTGAATCCTCTCACCCCCCAAACCTCTAGCCTGTACCCCAGTTTCTTGTATGTCTAAATAAACAAATATTTTTAAAAGGGTCTTATGCACTAAGGTTATGTTTTGTCTTTACATGGCAGATGACAATGAGGGTTTGGGGTGTCCTTATTTCTACCCACTAAGAGAATCACCTCTGAGCATGGCTGAAAACTTTAGTAATCATAGCAACCTGGACATTTTATGGTCGTGAAATAAGAATTTGGACTTTGAACTAGCCATTTCTCTTTGTTTTTTTCTTTTCCTCTTCCATGAAAGGATGTAGCAATCCACAGGCAATATCACCTTGATTCTGTCCCCAAGTACAGCCACAGGGATCTCCCTGATTGTCTTTTTGTTTTTTAAAAAGACTTATAATTCTTTATATATTTTTCATACAAGTTCCTTATGATACATATTATATCAGTTTGTGACTGATTAATTTAATTTTAATAAGACCCTATCTATGATTGGTGATTCTCACGTTCCCTTTAAGAAATCATTGTTTACCCCAAGTCATGAAAATGTTCTCCTTTATTCTTTTAACCTTTCACATTTAGATCTATAATTTGTGTGAGTGCTTTGGGCTAGTGGTCATTTTTGTTTTGTTTCATGTGTATATCACTTGATCCATTATTATTTGATAAGATCTTCTTGTCTCAACTGAGATTTGCAGTGAAATCTTTTTTTTGGAATCTTCATATATTGTTGGTAGTAATGAAAACTGATACAGCTGGGCCTCCCTGGTGATGTAAGGGTTAGTCTCAGTGTTATCACTGCCACGGCCTGATTTGGAGCCCTGGCCAGGGAACTGACCTACATTGCGCAGCAGAGGCAAAGTCTTCTTTCCTGTCTTCGCCCACTGCTCCCCTCAGCAGTGTATTTCAGCAAATCTGTCAATTCTGTCCCCTCCTCTGTCCCTGGTGAATCCTCTCACCATCCTCATCTCTGGTCTACATCCCGATCTATGCAAAAATAAAAATAAATTTTTTTTTAAATATGTAAAATTTATCAAGCCATAGAATTGTGGACCTGTAGTTGCCAAGGAATGAGGTAAGGGAGAGAAAGGTATGGGGGGGCGGGTTTGCAAAGGAGCCTAACAAAACTGTTAGGTGTGATGGATTATGCTCCACTGTCTTCATGGGGGAGATGGCCTCTAAGTATATACATCTGTCAGTGTGTTGAAGCATGTATTTTACATGTGTGTAGTATCGTGTGTCAATTATACTCAACAGAGCTATGAGACATTCACTGTGACCCTCTTAAAGAGATGGCCACATCCTTTAGTGTAGCGATTGTTCAGATTTGATAATGATTTTTTCCATATTTGTCTAATCTGCCTTTTTTTCTCAGAACAGTATTTTCACGCAAATCCCTCATAGGCTGTTTTATTTGACATCTGGGTTTGAGGATAAGGATGGAACTTTTCAAGTTAACAAATATTTTATATAAAGCAAAATTTGCAAGTCATACTTTGACACAGTGATTCCACTTTTGGGAACCTACTTTAATATATTGTTTTACATACAGAAGATATAAAGAAAAATATCTTCATGCTGCAAAAACTTTATAATAACAGAATTTGAAAAATTCCTAAGTAGAAGAATAATCACCTTATGGCTCAGTGAATTAGATAACTATAATTGATAAACACAATATGGAAGTGCTTTAGCACGTTTAGTGAAAAAAATCATGACACAAAATTTTATCACCATTACAAAGATTTTTTTTAAATAGACCACATGCATTATTATGACTCAATATTCTCCAGGTAAATGAAAACTTAAGTACACATCAAATTTTGTATTTAAATGTTCTCACTATTGAAAATAGCCAAAAAAGTAGAAACACTCCAAATTCCACTAATTGATAGAGAAAGGAAATGTGGCATGTCCACATAAGGAAATATTATTTGGCAATTAAAAAAAAAAAAACAGCGGAGGAGGGGGCGGGAAAAAAAAACAGCAAGGAGATACACTACAACATGGGTACATGGGTGACCTTGAAAGCACTATACTAAATGAAAGTGAAAGAAACCAGACACAAAGGAAACATATTACATGATTTATTTATTTAAATATTCGTTTAAATTTGAATATTTATTTTAAATATTCAAAACAATCTACAGAGACAGAAAATAAATTTGTGGGTGTCTAGGACTGGGTAGCTGGGAAAAATGAGTGCTTGTTTATTGACATGAGGTCTCTTTTGGCAATGATAAAAATGTTCTAAAATTAGTTGTGATGGCTACACAACTGCATATATTAAAAAATGGTTTAAAAATGAATTGTATGTGGCCCTCTCCATGGCACAACAGGTTAAGGGCAGTGCTATGAGGCTGTCCTCAGTCACTACAATATGAATTCTATCCAAGGCCAGGGAAGTGACCGACATGGCGCAGCAGGCCTCTACTGACCTGCCTGCTGCTCCCCTCAGCAGTATATTTCAGTTGTTCTGCCTGTTCTGCTCCCCATTCTGTCCCTGGTGAGTCTTCTCACCCCCTGACCTCTGGCCTACAACCCAGTTCTTGTATGCATAAATACATAAATCTTAAATTAAAAAAAAGGATTGTATGTGATTATAGCTCAATAAAACCATTATAATTTTTTTAATTGGAGGAAAATTATGACTTTGAGGAAGTAGGATTATGGATGAGTAAAGTAAACTTTTCTATCATTTACTTTTATAAGAAAAATTAAGACCTTTTTAAAAAGCACCGGATGGAGGAAACTCCCTGTTGGCCAGGGGTTAAGTGTCCGAGCTACCACCATTAAGGCCACTAAGTTCCATTGCCACTAAGGTGCTGACCCACAGCAAATCTCCCCAGTGGAGATTTATTTCAGTAAATCCACTTGTTCTGCTCCCCATTGTCTCTGGTGAATCTATACCCCAGTTCTTCTACAAAAAA